TGGCTGTGTATTACTTTACGTCCCCCTATTTTCTTTACACCTCTGCCCACGCTTTGCATTCTGTTCGTGCTGAGTAGAAACAGCGATGAATATGAAATGCCTATTAAAAATGGGTCAATGTTTTTAAAATGGAATTTACCACACGAAGTGAACTCGGCCGCTTCTGCCTTGGAACTGAGCTCTGAGTTCACCCCATCCACTGTTCGGGGTGGAAATGCACTGCACATCTCAAGGCCATAGCTCATGTCCTAGCAAACAGCCTATAACAAGCTTTGGGAATGAACACTCTTGGTTGAGAGATTTCAATTTTCTACTACGATTGATATTATGGCAGTCCAGAGCCCAAGCAGTCAAGAGCACCCGGATCGAACCCGAGCTCCGTTAAGTTAATGTCACTGCATTAGTCCGATGGTACCCCATTTCGAATTTCGTCCAAGTGGCTGTTGATTGACTCCAGGTGGATGGCAGAGGTAGGGTCGACGTCCCACAGGGGCAATAATTTAGAAGTTTCCAGCTTTGTGGGCGGTCAGGCTACTTGACGTTTTTTTTGTCTGTCTGCACTAAAAGTTTCAGGACGAAACTCAAGAGAGTGAAACAGAGGCACGCAGGTCACGACCCTCAGTCCACGTTCCTCCATAAAAAACTATGGGCAAAATCAGGGTTTTGTATATTCTTAATTGTACAATTTTAGATAGAGAAAAGGTTCTGAACTGAAAGGAATCTACTTTTAGGTTATGTTATGGTCCAACCGTCAGTCCGCACTACCTCGGCTGGAAAGGGAACAATGATCCAAGATAGCTTCCTGCAGAATGGCCAACTTCGCAATATCAAATCACCGAAAAACCGTAAATGATTATCTACGTTGTGCCTTATGTATTAATGGCCTCATAGCAACCACCAGAGTTTGGGAGTTCCATAAAATTAATTCTAGACTCTACGGAAACACACTGACACACCTATCAATCAATTTAAGTACTACTACGACCACCACAGCTACCTGAAAGCTAAATAGATACGCCATCTGTTGAACCATTTTACAGCCTGCACGGTTTTTCGGTGATTTGATATTGCGAAGTTGGCCACTTTGCAGGAAGCCATCTTGGATCATTGTTCCGTTTTCAGCCGAGGTAGTGCGGACTGATGGTTGGACCATAACATAACCTAAAAGTAGATTCCTTTCAGTTCAGAACCTTTTCTCTATATAAAATTGTACAATTAAGAATATACAAAACCCTGATTTTGCCCATAGTTTTTTATGGAGGAACGTGGACTGAGGGTGTTTGAGAACAGTGAGATGAAATGCTAGGAGGCTGGAGAAAGTTACACAATGAGAAGAGATGGGCAGGGCATGTAGCCCCCATTTAAAAGACACACGGGGTTTTGGTAGGCAAACCAACTGGAAAGAGACAACCAGAAGATCTAGACGAGAATGGAATGGCATGTACTGGATTCATCTGGCTCAAGATTGGGGCCAGTGGCAGGCCCTTGTGAACATGGTAATGAACCTTAAGGTTCTATAAAATGTTTGGAATTTCTTGAGTGACTGGATAAATGTTGTCTTCTCAGGAAGGACTCATCTTTTTGGAAGAGGAGGGCTATGTGACATGTCCAAAGTTGCTGCCAAAAGTACCTAATGGAGAAGTCCAGGAAGATTTTAAGGAGAAATGTAAGTAAATTATTTATTGATGTATTTGGATTTATAAAAGAGAACCATGAGAGTGGCAGAACTTTTTTTTACAACATTATTGCCTCTGTAAGTGAATGATTCATAAAAACATGAAAATATTTAGTGCTTTTCACAAAAGTGAATGAAGCAGCTCTCCATCATCCAATGTTCATGTAGTGTATCAATCAGACTACAAATGTAACAGTGAATTATGTGGCACTCTTGGTTAAGGTCGATATTTAAGTTATTATACAAAAGCTGTTCCTTTTAAGGTTCATCCTCCCCCTGCTCAGGGTGCTCTGTACTCTCGAAATGTCGGTGTTTACTCCAGTAAACTACCTTACACGGCTGGTAGCCCTAGAAGAATTCATTATAGGCCATAGTCAATAAAATCATGAAAATAAGTACCTAATTTATATTCATGATATCTTTTCAATTATCTTAACTTTTAAAATTGTTTTCCTGTGATAGCATAATAGCATAGCAATTCAAGTAAAAGATTTTGTGAAATAATGTTGGCATCTATCACCACAAAAGCAAAAGCTAAACCCACACCACATTAGAAACTTCAAATAATAGATCCACTGAATTTGAAATGGCTTTGAAGACAATTTATCATTCTTGAATAACACAGTTTTAAAACTATAAGAATCAGAATATGGGAAACAGTATAAAAAACATGCCTGTTTCCAAACTTTTTTCTTTTCTGAAGAATTACAGACATCTTAAGCAACTATAATGGATATGTAAGATTTGAGGTTTTCACAGCGGTGAGTATGAAGATTTCTGTCTTCTGGGTTGTTGCACTGTATAGTCTGGTCGATGTTAACCAACGTTTCAGAGGTTATGCTGCTTCCGTCATCAGGGCGATGAATATGCCAATAGGGTGTGTGGGGCTAGGTTTATAGGTGCCGGAATGTGAATGGTGTAGCCTGCCCCGAGCCAATGGGATATAATGGATATTTTACAGGATCAAAAGTGTTTTTCATGCAGCAAGTTGAACACAAATTGCCAAGTAGACATTCATTGATGCAAGAATATTATTAGCAGAAATTGCAGAGATAAATGGAGTACAAGGTTGACTCATGCTGTCATTTTATGACTTGAAAATCAATGGACTGATTTTGATCAACTTTTGTACTGAAGGCACAAATTTGTCGAAGAATCCAAAATGTCCTAAAGATGAGTTTGAATAATAAAACCATTTTGATTAATTGCTATTTATAACAGAGGAAACATGCCAAAATCATTGCTCTTTCTAACCTGGAGAAGCAAATACAAAGGAATGTTTCCTGGTGTCACTTTCCTTGCCGCCTTCTTCCGGAATAACTAACCAGAAGGACACGTCGACTTCAGATGTAGATTCAGTTACACACGAGGTAATGGTAATGAGTAATAAAGGACCTCGACAAAGTTTTTGTATTTCAGTATTTTTCTGAATTATCTGATAAGTTATTTCCAAAAGCAACTAACATATTAGTTTTGCTGTATTTGGTGCAAGTAATAGTGCCCCAACAACAGAAATAACTAATTTTTTTCATCCATCTTGTTTTAGTTTCTTGGGAGAAATTTGGCCTACGAGATAAATAAAATTTTATGTAATAACTTATGAATCAACCTTTCTATCAGACAATGATATTTTTCTTTTTACCCAATTGGCATTGGTAACCCATTCCATTAGGTAAAGGTAAATGTAAAATTGTCTCTTTGCATAAGAATCATGGTTTGAAGGTGTCTAGAAGAAGGGATGTAACACTCAATGCACCCTATCTCAGCAGTGGATGGAAGTGAGTGATCAGCTTCATGCTCCAGCTGATTTATACTGTGAAAAGAATTCCTTCTGTTTTCATGAATTGAATCCCAGTTACCTTTCTTGCCCAGTGCAGTTTTATTGAGGCTCATACTTTGAGATATGGGGGTCGGTGCATGTAGTTGCTTTACTGTATTATTCAGTAGCTAAGATTTCAAGGAGCTTTATCACAGCATCTAAACAACAATGTTGCATTGGAACATAGATCTCTTTGTACCCTTCTGTTCTGCAATTGTATTATAATGACGAAATTTCAGTGTTTTAATTTAATTTGCATTTAAGGTGGCTTTCCTGTTGAATACATGTTTTTTTTTAAATATACAAAGTTAGGAGTTGTGGATTCTTAACCTTAAAACTTCCTA